AAAAAAAAAAAAAAAAAGCAATATTTTCAACTTGAAAACTCGAAAGCAAACATTTTCAGCCACAAATTCGATGAGGTGTATGATGTCATAAACATTCACTTTTAAGCAAATAAAAGTCAAATCAGTTTCTACATTTAACCAGTGTTTGGCATTTGATCTTCACTTCAGAGGTTGCTTTCATACCTCATGAGATGTAATGGAGATCTTATAATTAAGTTTCATTCAAGTATCAACTCTGTCACAGATGTTTCTCATAAAATAAATGGACAAATGAAAACAATTGTTGTATAGAGTACAGAGTTATAAAATTAATGTGGATGCCATTGCTCAGATTGATCTTGGAAGAATATAATGAGAAATGTTTGCATTCATATTGAAATATCTTCCGAAACTCTCATAATATTGGATCTTTTCTCAGGAGAAACATCTGAGAAGCAGTTAAGCAAAGGTCTCTACTAAATCTCACTGCTGTCTAGAAGAAACACCTGAGACATTTGTGCATTTGTGCATCCCAGTGCATTTGGGATTTTTCTTTGCTATGGGTTCAAGCTTCAACTTGTGATATCCCAATAGGTTTATCCCACATCTTTGGGACTCTCACATAGAAGATTGCACTAAATAAGGAGATAAGATTTCCTATAATAAAATGACAAAACCAACCACTGATGTTTTGAATTATATTTGTTTCTGTTTCAATGACAATTCTTCCTTGTTCATAAACTGTGACTAATGAAATCTTGGGTTCAGCATTAGGCAGTCTGCAATACATTACTGTAAGGCAATATGGAGATATAACTAATGTGGTGTTTAAGAGACCTCAAGAGAAATAACAGAGGGCTGATAAAACCAGAGGGGAAAATATTAAAGACATAAAATAAGAAAGAGAGTGGAAAAAATATTGGAAAGCAAAGAAGAAGACATTTCATTTGTAGAAAAATGGATTATGCCTTCGAATATTTCAGCATGCCAGTTTTGCTCTAGATAAAACAACTAAACAGAGCCAACACAGAACTTTTCCAAACTATCATATCTCTTCACTATATCTCTTGTGTCTGGAATTTTTTTGCAGAATTACTAAAATATTGATAACAACAACAGTGGACGTGAGAAACTTGTGTGGGGTTAACTGCAGTCCTGTTGAGGAGAGTAAACCGGGTTGTGTGCTTCAAATCCTCTCCTAGTGAGCCACGGTACTGCTGGACCCAGATAAGTTCTGGATTCTGATGCAGGACTGAAATGTGCTGCCTCTGGGAAAAGGTTAACCTCATGTACTCACGTGCCAAAATCTAAGTCACCATAAGAGGACAACATTTCTGACAAAACACTCTCATTGCCAGAGAAGGTTTTCTGTGTTTTTAATGGCTCTGTTGTGCTGCAATTATCATCGGCACCACTGATTCATGGTAAAAAAAGGGGGCCAGAATCAAGTCTTTTAAAGAGAGCAAATATTTTATTTCTGACACCCCTTCATTTACACCCTTTTCTAAATTTACTCCGTAAAACTGACTGAATGTCAAAATTGGCTCACAATCTGAAAACAATTAATTACAAAGTTTCATAATTGGAACTTTCCAAAAGTGCAAATAAATCTAAGCATGCAGAAATTCAGAGTTCTTACTGGTGGCTGAAGCGGTGATGAAGGAGAGGTGAGCTCGGCTGCTCTTGAGCCGATTCTGACCCCAGTAAGAGACGGCCTGAATCTGTGCAGTGTAGTGTGTGTTGGGCTGTAGACCCTGAAGATCCATCTGCGTTACATCCTACAGGAAATAAAAGTAAGACATTATCTTGTAATGGTTTAGCACTAAGACATAAAAAATTTTTGAATTTATAACCAGTCCCAATTAAACCCAGTCTGTACTGATTACAGACAGTCTGTAATTTGCACGTTATTCTGAACACCTTGATTAGCTTGGTGTGTTTGGTTAGGGTTAGTGCTAAACTCAGAAAGACACTGGCTCTCCAGGACTGGAGTTGAAGAGCCCTGCCCAATACCAGCCATGCTACTGACAGAGGTGTTTTCTGTAATGCCAGAAACTCCTGTGCTTGCATCTATATTCTAGTACTACTGGATCTAACTGCTGTCTTTAACACCATAGATCATGACATTCTCTTGAATAAACTGGAGAATTTTGTTTGCTTTAGTGAACTGCTTATGTGACTGTTACCACTTTGTTTACGTTAATGAAGAAATGTCATCAATCACAAGGTAAATATGGAATGCCGCAGGGCTCAGTGTTAGGCCCTCTGCTTTTCTCCTCATACATGCTTCCTTTGGGAGACATTATCAGAAAACATAGAACTAGTTGACATTGTCATGCCAATGATACTTAGCTCGTGCACATACGTTTAGAATTTAAATATTTTCCAAAGTTCAAGTTTAGTGAACTCTGACCTGCAAATTCATATCACACGAAGACATGTGAGCAATAGAAGATTGACACATCTTAGTTGAAAGAACACAAATTTGCATGAAAATTAAGTAGATTGTAGTTTTTTTTTTAATATTTTGGATTATTATTTGTTATGTTTTTTTTTTTTATAAAATAAAATAAAAAATCTGTTGCATTGTCTGAAGTGGTGAAATATTGTACAGCCCTTCACTAGAATATCACCTGTCTCTTGATGGTTGCATTCTCTTGTTATCTTTTACGGTTAAGAACCCGGATATACTGCTTGATAGCAATCTGCTGTTTAAGGCATATGCTTTCGATTTATAAAGCTGAAAAGTTATTTCATACATTTATGACCTTAAGACTAGATTATTGTAAAGTGGTACTTGGTGGGTGTTGTTTAGGATTATTAAATATGCTTCAGGTAGTGGAAAATGCAGCAGCTAGAGTGCTTACTAGAACAAAGAAATAATCATAACAGTCCAATTTTATTGTCACTTAATTCATTTCAGAATTCTGCTAATTGTTTATAAAGCTTTCAATTCAATGATGAACTGCCTTTAACTGAAAATGGAGTGTTTACCATTGTAATTTTGCATTAATGACACACTATTTTCCTAATTAATGCTGTACAGTTGCTTTGACACAATCTGTATAGTTAAAAGCGTTATATAAATAAAGGTGACTTGACTTGACTTTGAATGGTCTGGCTCTGCGATACCTACGTGAGCTCAAATAACACTATATTTCATCATGTTCATTCTGGTTATTAAATTACACCAAGAATATCAAAATCCTCTGCAGGAGGTATCCTTTTCCTGTTTGGCTCTGAAACTCTGGAATAGCCTTCCCAGTATTGTTTGGGATTCAGACACACTCTGTCATCTTAAGTATTCACTAAGCCAAGGTATTCTTAAGCCAAGCATACACCTAATTCATCACCTAATCACATGGTTATGCTGCATTAGTTAGGTCAACCGGAATTAAAAACACTTCTCATAAATCATAATTATTATGTGAAGGGTATCTGTGCTAATATGAGTCATTTCATATGAGTCATTCATTTAAAATTAATTGCTTCAAGCTGGACAACAGTTGAAAACCTCTATGTTATCAACCATCCTAGGAGGTACTTTACCAACAACACAGGTCACTCCATTGACCTGCACCTCAGCAGACAATATGGGACAGACCTTATAAACACCTTATGCAGTTTTTCATTAATTGTTTTCAGCTTTCTACTTTTCTGTCATGGAACAACCTGCTGGATGACAATTAATCTGGCTTCATAAGCTGACATTCCACAGAGACTGTCCTGCTGTCATTGTTTAAACTCTGTGGCTGAGAGTCGACACCAGATCATGGGTCCTACAACACAGCTCTGCTGTCTTTGATACAGTAAGTCACTTGACTCTCCTGTTCACCTTCACTGAACTGGTCATCACAAAACCTGCATTTTGCTGGTTTGTGTCCTACCTCACAGGCAGATCCTTTAACATTTCGCAGAGTTATGAGCTAACCACATCAACTAACCACTGAGGTGCCTCAAGGTTCAGTGCTTGGTCCCCTCCACTTATCCTCATACAAGTGGATTAGTGAGTAGTGCCTGGTGGTACTATCACTATGAAGTACAAAGCTGCTTACTCGAATCATCATACTGTATGTTCTTCTGTGCTGGAACAATTTTCCAACCTCCTCCAATCTGCTCACTCGAGACCATGACAACGAAACCTCTATGTTGATTTGAAAACATGTGGAGCCCAGCTGGTCTCCTCAGTGCAGGATTCAAGAACTGCTCTGTATACCTTAGTGTATCATTTTGGGGTATCCGACTGGCATTTCATCATAGAGAACATGTACAATAATGTGAGGTTTTAAAAAAAAAGAATTAGATATAACCAACACCCTTGCTTTTTTAACCATTAAAACCTTACAATGAGTTTGTCCAGGAAGTCACACTGAATTAGTCTATCATGATATCTTCATCTATTACTGTAATCTTTCAAATAAAGACTACAAATGGAGTAGTTTCTGTACATATAAGAGACAAATATTGCTGTTCTGTTAAATGAGCCATACTTTTGTCATTCTTAAATTCTGAAATAACAGACATATAGGGCCGCTGTGCATATAGCTTCAACAAAGTTGTGTTTTTTTGGACCGAAGAGATTCTTAATTCCAGGCAGTTTTAAAATGATCTGACATTTTCTACTACTCCCAATAACTCTTAAATGATTGCAGTGATCCATTCTGAGAACAAAAATCTGTCAGCTGAATTGGGGCTTTATAGGCTACTGTTCAATAAAATAGATTGCTTTCTCAGACACAGAGGTTATTGCATTGTAAAAACAAATTACCTAATCAAAACCATTTGAGAGCTGTGGCTTTCAGGAGAGCACTTGGAATACAATAAAATATGCTGATCACTAGGCCAGCTGCGTCTTTGTTTTGCGGTCGTGGTGGGGAACCGACTTAACTGGCTTTAGCGCTTTACTACATCACAGGTGGGGCACATGAGTCCAACACCTGTGAGGCGGCGCTGGCCAAAGGGGAGCGAGGCTGACCAGTGAAAACATACGTTTAAATCCTTAAACTCAGTAGCAGATTTAGCACTTCCTGGGTCTGACGTTCCAAGACTGGAACCAAGAAAAACAATTTGGGGAAATTTCTCCCCTCTCTAAGGGTTCAGTTCAACTTTATGAGAGAAAGGTAAAAATTGTTCTCTAACCTCAATAAGATTTTGGCCACTATCTTCAGCCTCGGTCTGGCTTAATTTTCTTACTCATTCTTCTGAAATAAACTTTCCACATACATAAACACTGAGCGTAACCCCCCCACAGGTTCACAGTTTAGCAGAGATATAAAAGTATGCGTAGTATTTGAGAGAATACGCCAGCAGAGGGGTGAGACAGAGGGTTGAGCTCAGGAGGGCTTACCCCATCTGTGACCCGTCCAGCCCGGCTCTGGCTGGTTGGTGGTGCTCCTCGAGTGATCCAGGTCACCTTGTAATGGTGGACCACCAAGTCGCTCTCCCCGGGGGCCTCCCACAGGACCAGAACACTCACCGTGCCGTCAGGGTGAACCGTCTGGTTCCCTATTCTGGCATTCTGTGGGGTCTCTGGGGGAAACGGATCTGAAACAGAGATGTGAAGGTGCTTCAGTCAGAACACTGCTTTTCATCACACTCTTGTCAGTTTATTTGTGTTCGCCTGACATGACCTGAAGTGAACCACAGAAGAAAGGAAGACTTCAGAACATATTGCCCAAGACATGAGAAAAACTTCAACAGGACACACTATTGATGGCCAACTTTATTGCTCATGTGACTTTTTCAGGGATGTGATTTTTCCATATTTATACAGATTATTATTATTTTTTTCATGCTAGCAGTGCATGATCCAGTGTATTCAGTGTCTCGGTTTGCAGTAAATGCAGCTCCACACAAACTCATCACATCAACCATCTTCCCAGATTTGAAATGAGAATCAATTATAAATCTGTTGTCATCAAAACAAGTCTTCCTGCAATTTTCTGCCAAAATAAAAGCTCTCCGTTAAACGCTTGAAAGCAAAAGTAAGCAAAGTAAGACAGACAAAAATATTAGTATTGTAATAATTTTTCTTATTATTATTTTATTTTTATTTTTACAGTACAATAGTATTATTGTAACAGTAACAGAAAATATATCTCTTTATAGATTTGTTTGATTTTTATCATTTAAATAATAATAAAATAAAATAATATTTTGACTACTACTACCACTAATAAAAATAATAATGGAATATGACATAACCATTATGCTTTCATAATATATTTTTGTCAGGAAAGAAATGTCATCGTGTGAGTTTGTGTGCATGTTTCTGTTGATGTGACAAAGAGAGCTGTTCCAGACATGAGTTGAATAGTGTGTATGAGTGTGCTAATGTGTCCACCGCCGCTGCTGGGAGAGACACACTCCACACACTGACCACTGCCAGTGATGCGCAAATAATTCAGACAGAACAAGAGTGTAGACATCTCATTTTACTGTAAGCACATCCACCAGAGCCTTAAAAACAGTTATGACTATAGACACAGAAATATTCCTTCATGATCGTGTAGCTTGTTAAGAGCAGTAAATACTGTCAATATGTTACAAGAAGCACTCATGGTGACATAAACAGAACAATTATAAGAAATATATATTTTTACATTTCTGAAGTACAAAACCTCATAGTCCAGGCTACAAGGCCTTGTGAAAAAGAAGTACCCTTTAGCATACTTTAAAAAAGTATATATCTATATTTATTTATTTATTCTAATCTGAACTAGTGCTCTTTTGATCCACTTATTGGACTTAATTATATACTTATAGGAATTAATTATATGTAATTTCATTTTAATTGTATTTAATAATTAGTGTAATTAATAAAGTGTAATGCTGAATATACTAACATTTATGGTAAAATATACACTTGCATGTCACATATTTAAAAAATATTTGTAATTAGACATTTGTAATGATGAAGTTGCAATTTAGTACATCTAAAGTATATTAACTTTAAATGTCATTTTGGAAAACAAACTACAGATAACTACAGTTATAATCAAGTATTTTACGTGTGATTTAGTATGTTAGTCAACACATCAGAACTGTATTTTAAAACTTGATCAAATATTACTAAAACAAAATTATTTAAAATGTAGTTTAACACTTTTACATTTGACATGATTAAAAATGCATTAAAATGTAAAGTGTGTTAAACAGTTACGAAAGTGTACTCTCTTTAAAGGGGTCATATGATGCTGCTAAAAAGAACATTATTTTGTGTATTTGGTGTAATGAAATGTGTTTATGCGGTTTAAGGTTAAAAAAAACATTATTTTCCACATACTGTACATTATTGTTTCTCCTCTATGCCCCGCCTTTCTGAAACGCGTCGATTTTTACAAAACTAATCGGTCTGAAAAGCGAGGTGTGCTCTGATTGACCAGCTATCCCTACAATACTACAGCGAGAATAAAAGTTAGCCTTCTTTCTTTGCTTGAACATTTGGGCGGCGTTATGCAAATCTTCCCACATAGTGAGGTAGATATGTGGGGGCGTGTTAGAACGAGCCGTTTTAGGTAGGCGTGGCTGACTCTTAACTTTTATAAAGAATATCTCTTTGGATTTGAGACTTTAGTCTTTGCAACTTTACAGATCTTCTTTATGCACTAAGAGCTTGTGACACTCCAAAGAGAAAGGAAAAATTTAAATCGCATCATCATATGACCCCTTTAATTACTCTTAAGTACAGCTTTTCAAAAATATACTGTCAAGATTTGAAGTACACTTACAAGTGCACATTCAATACAAATAAACGCTCTTTTACAAAGGGTTTCATTTGTCACCTGGTATATTTTCGCCCATTTTATTATTGGCCAGGCAAAAGTCAAATGTCCAATCATGTAGAAAAGCAGAAGCACACCCTCCCTCTCTAAAAAAACAGTACCATTCATGTCTGTAGCATGTGGATCGAGTCACTAACTTTAGGCATGAGCAATATTAATAGTGATACTTGACTAAGCAAACACTAATAATGCATTACATTCTGTTTCAAAGCAAGAAAATAAAGACGCGCGGCACATGCTCTGTTTCCGATTAAAGTAAAAGGCCAGCTGCTTTACCTTGGAGGCCAATCAGTGTGCATTGAGCATGACAGAGGAAAGATGCTTTGATATGTCAGTTTAGCTCACATGCTAATGTCGTGCCTGTGGGGCTTCTGAAGAGAGCCTGTTTGGTCTGTGAAGTCAGCTTCATTTCAGACTCGGGGGCAGCAACTAAACAAAGCACATAATGGCAAGTTCACCAGCACAACTTGCAAACTTCTTTCCAAGATCTCCAGCACGTTCTGTGCAAATGTTTAGTGTTTATGTGTCAATGGGTTCTGAAGTTTCCTGCGCCAGTACGAGATATTGCTTCAGCGTTGGAGCATGCTAATTTCCGTTCCACTCTTAGCTAACGTGTGTTGACTGTCTTGACGTGAAGCAGATCGGACATTGAGAAAGAGCTTGGATGACGCTCCCAGGGCATTGCAGGAAGATGTCAGATATTTCTAACACTCATTTTATTCTTGCTGAGTTTAGCACGCGCCTTCCAAGCGTTTGTAATCTTTCAAAATAGCAGAAGGTTTGATTCCAGTCGTTGTGGGTTGTGTGTTGCCTCGGTCTGTGTGTGATTATATTTTGGCCGTGCTGTTGATCTCGAAACATGCCAACGCAAGCACCCCTGAGGTCTGGGATGATATGGGCCGTATCACTCAGATCAGAGAGCATTACAGATATGATATTAAACTATCTGGTACCAAAAAACATTTCTTCTAACGTCTTCAAAACCCAAACCCAGGTCTGAGTCTGAGTTTGATTTCAGCTTGCCCTGGAGGGTGTTTTCCATATCCATGGAAAAGCTTATTTCATACTATTAGAAAGATGTTTCACATACTGAGCGCTGGCCAGACCCTGAGCGCAGGAGGTGTTGTGTTTGTGTGTATGTGTCAGAGGATTTCTGGGGTTTTTGGCAGACTGGTTTTCCAGAGGTAGGCTCTGTGGTTCGTGCTTTGGGGATTCGCACATTCTCTGCACTGCACTCTGTCACAGACACAAAGCCTTCAGTGGAGTGTAAACTAAATATCGAGTGTCTATGGGGTTGCAAACAGTGATTTGTTCTTGAGAAACGGACCAACTTCAGCTCTTGTATTATGTTGCAGGTCAGTTTGACCCAAATCGATTTTTGAGTTGTTGGGAATACTGGTAAACCAATGATTTTTTTTCTTGACTTTTTGTGACTTCTTGTGATGTGATGTGTTGTGGAATGTGAATACAAAATTTCTATTAAGATTATGATGTTTGAGGGTCATTTTTTTACCCACATATTTCATGGTTAGATGCAACTGCAAACATCCCCAAAAAATTTAATGTATTTAGTTATGTCAGTTTTTTACGTACCCTTTAAGAGTATTTATATTTACATTTACGCATTTGGCAGATACTTTTATCCAAATAAATTTACACTCTGTTATACATTTTTAAAGAATTTATAAATGATAATTTTGTAATAATCTTAGTGTTGCAACAGTGAAATGGATGGCAGCACGGGGTGCCAAACACTTAGCATTAATGGAAATAATGGTTAAAGATTGGTTTTTAAAAAGCGGTCAATGACTGGCAGAAGCAGCAGCCAAACAAAAAACTGTAAAAAGAAGGTAAAATATCCAATTTTTTCTTAACTGTTTTACAAAAAACACTATTACTTAACAGGTATTTCCTGGATCATTATTGTGAATCAATCTCTGTGAAATGTAAATCTCTTGTAGTTAACCATCAGCTAATAACAGCACACACACATGAACTAATGCAACTATCAGCGACTACACAGTTACAGCCTTTATAAGGGTGGGAAGTCGTGGCCTAATGGTTAGAGAGTTGGACTCGTAACCCAAAGGTTGCGGGTTTGAGTCTCGTACCGGCAGGGATTGTGGGTGGGGGGAGTGAATGTACAGCGCTCTCTCCAACCTTCAATACCACGACTATTGGCGCCGCAGCAAAAAATGGCTGCCCACTGCTCCGGGTGTGTGTGTGCACTTTGGATGGGATAAATGCAGAGCACTAATTCCGAGTATGGGTTACCATACTTGGCCACATGTCACGTCACGTCACTTATAATTATTTAAATAATATAACATCAATGGTTCTTGGGCTTCTCCTGGACTGAAGCACACACTCTACTCTTCAGCACAACGGTGACCCACAAAACTCAGACTACAGAACATTGGGTTACACTTTATTTCGATAGTCCACTTTAGACATTCTATTAACTATAAGTAACTTTGTAACTACATGTCAACTACATGTCAACTAATTCTCATTAATTTGCAACTACATGTCCACTAACTCTCAGAGTAGACTGTTAGGGTAGGTTTAGGGTTAGTAGAATGTTGACAAAAAAAGAGTTAGAAGATATTAAGCAGACAGTCTACTAATACTCTACTTACTGCTAGTTGACATGTAGTTGCAAAGTTACTTACAGTTAATAGAATGTCTAAAGTGGACTATCGAAATAAAGTGTTACCGAACATTAAACACTAACAGATCTCTCTAGATCTCAGCATCTTCAGTAAGGGATAATCAACTCTGC